AGCAATGTATTGAAAAATAGTTTGGAAATAAGTGGTGGGGTTTTACCACAATGCGCTGGCTGCAGAGGTGGGAGTAAGGGAGGGTGAGCTGGCTGGCCACCCCAGTTCTACCATAAATGTGTGTGGGCGACCAGAAAGAGGCAGGGGCTGGTGAGTCAGCTCAAAGCACATCATGTCATCTTAGCTCACATTCCTATTGAGGTCAGGTTGGGGATTGGCCTCCCCAGCTTAGTGGCACACACATGAAATCTGAAAGAGAAAAACTGATATTTCAAGTGAGATAAATGGAAAATGTTCTCTAGAGAAAGAGGAACATTTTGTCTTTCTTGCCTTTTCTCTGAGAAAAGGCAAGGGGAGAGAAAAGACAAGGGGAGGCTGTGCACAGTGGCTCACACCTGTAATCCTAGCACTTTGAGAGGCCAAGGCAGGAGGATCACTTGAGGTCAGGAGTTTGAGACCAGCCTGGCCAACACAGTGAAACCCTGTCTCTACTAAAAGTGGAAAAATTAGCTGGGCATGGTGGCATGCACCTGTAGCCCTAGCTACTTGGGAGGCTGAGGCAGGAGAATCGCTTGAACTTGGGAAGCAGAGGTTACTGTGACCTGAGATCATGCTACTGCACTCCAGACTGGGCCGCAGAGCAAGACTCCATCTCAAAAAAGAAAGAAAGGAAGGAAGAAAAGGGAAGAGGATTCTTTGTCAAGATTGGCAGAGGCAGGAGGAAAAGGGGCAACTGAAAACCACTTGAAAAGGGTATGTGTAGACCAACTCCTCTCCTGACTCCAGTTGGAATGGGAATTGAGGGGTGGAGCGGGCCAGAGTCACTTTCCCAATCAAGGAATCATGCAGTGAGATTCTGGCATGCTCAGACGCACCTGTGGGGGAACATCTGTGGGATGCTGTGCATGAGCCATGTGCTGGGTGCTTTCAGTGGCCACCTGAGATCCCGGGTCCTAGAGGGCATCATTTGGTAATGAAGGCTGAGACCATCCTGCAACTGCCCTGACTTCTCTCCCTTGGAACAGAAGGTTAACACAAGAACGGAACTCAGCTGCTGCCAACTTCCACCTCCCACTTATGGACGATGCCACTGATATGGTTCGGATGCGTGTTGCCCTTCAAATCTCATGTTGAAATGCAACCTCCAGTTTTGGAGGGGGTGCCTAGTGCGAGGTACTGGAACCTGGGGGCGAATCCCTCATGAATTACCTTTCCATGGTAATGAGTGAGTTCTCGCTCTCTTAGTTCACATAAGAGCTGGCTGTTTAAAGGAAGCCTGGTACCTCCTCCTCGCTCTCTCACTCCCGCTCTCACCACGTGATGCACCTGCTTCCCCTGGCCTCCCACCACAGGCTGGACGCTTCCTGAGGCCTCCCCAGAAGCAGATGCCAGCACCATGCTTCCCGTACAGCCTGCAAAACAATGAGCCAAATAAACGTCGTCTTTATAAACAATCCAGTCTTGAATATTTCTTTAGAGCAATGCAAAAATGGACTGACACAGGCATGGAGGGCTGGGTGACCTGACTCGCCAAGGACCACAGCCAGATGTGTCAGCCTCAAGAGACCCACACTCCCGACACCTGACATTTGACCTCTCAAGTCATGCTTGGCCTGTTGAGTTGCATGCATTGCTTGCCAAGCCCTTCTTGTCACGTGCTACGTAATCTCATTTAACTAATTTACGACTCTGGACTGCAGGCTGAACGACAGCTATTTGTTTCCCTGCCCCAGTTGCAAGCTAAGGAAAAGTGGGCTTCATTAATTCAAGAGCTTATCTCCCAACAACTGTTAACAAGCCTTGGACGCTGCTCCAGCCAGTTGGCTTTTCTGAGAAGGTGAAAGGGCCTCTAGTCCATATGGTCTAGATTCTTTTACATTTTCATTTCAAACGCTAAGGTTGACAGATCTGCTAAGAGCAAATGGGGTGTTAGTTAATATCTAATTACTCTAACACAAGTCACAGCCCATTTAACTGAGTCAGACAGCAGTCTCTGCCTTCACTGACAGACGCATTTAGGACATCAATGTATACACTCTCCCCCAACCGTTTAGCCTAATCTGCCGTTGTAACTTTCTTGTGATGCAGTTAGCATGAATCCACACGTCCCCCTTTCCAGTTGGGTTTATGTCTGAAGTTCCCCTCTTTCTTATTCTCTAATATGCTAATGGGCCTTCAGATAACAACGAGGTAAAAATGAGAAAATCATATGTACCTGCTGCTTTATGATTTTTCTAAAAATAGCAATGCGATGGTTGGAATCTAAAAGCCAGTATGAGTCCACCCTGGGCTGTATTCTGGTTGTCTGCTCACAGTTGGTGAAGCCCGAGGTGGGAGAATCTGCAGGCAGGAACCACAGCTCTAGCTCGGCACCTCCTCCAACTCCAAGAAAACAACCTCGACGCACTGCACCTCAGCTTCATCAACTTGAAATATGTGAGTTCATGACACCTCAGCTCTACTCATACATATTTGAGATTTACCCCAATCCACTGATGCGGAATAGGATCAGAATACTCAGGGGGACCGTGTACGGTGGCTCACGCCTGTAATCCTAGCACTTTGAGAGGCCGAGGCAGGTCAATCACCTGAGGTCAGGAGTTCAAAACCAGCCTGGCCAACATGATGAAACCGTCTCTACTAAAAATATTTTTTTAAAAATTAGGTGGGTGTGGTGGGCAGAGCACCTGTAGTCCCAGCTACTTGGGAGGCTGAGGCAGGAGAATAACTTGAACCCAAGAGGTGGAGGTTGCAGTGAGCTGAGATCCCACCACTGCACTCCAGTACAGGTGACAAGAGCAAACTTCCATCTCATAAAAAACAAAGCAAAACAAACCAAAAAAACCTCAGGGGATTATTGTGTGTGTGAACATCCTCCTTTCTTCAGGGCTGGAACAGCATCTGGAATTAAAGAACATGAGAAAGTGTTCTGAAATTCACCAGGATGGCTGAAAGACCCGCCATCAACAACAGTGTAGGGGATGAAGTAAAATTAAAAGGTATGATTTTGTAAGAGTTATGTTATTTGAATATGCTCAGGGTTAGAAATCCAAGAGTAGCAGGCCTATTTAAGAGCATCTGGCTAAAAGGTGAAGTAGGTAAGAAGTAATCAGAAATTTCCTTGATCGAATTCCTCAGTGCATAATTAATCTGAAGGCAACCAATCTCAAGGAGCACCCTAAAATATACATTGGGTAAATTCAGAAGCAGATAGGTTAAAATTTGGTAAAACAGTAGCAGAATTTAAGGGGTTGGCAATTCAAGTCCTCCATAGGTGCTGGGGAAAGCAAGTAGGTACAGATTCTAGAACTCTTTAGACAAGGTATGGCGTGAGTGGAAACCATCACTCCATCAAGGTAATTTTTATTTTAAAAAATTACAGAAAGAACAAAGAACTAAAAGAATTTTAATAAAATGAGCAAGTTTACATTTGTACATTTTGCATATTTGGGACCCAATCGGGGGCAAAGGATAAAGTCGCATGGACAAAGGTTTCTGTGGGAGAGCAAGCAAAAAGCAAGGGCTGCCCCAGTTGCGTCATGGCCATCCATTCAGAGCTGGGACCCTGCAGCCACCTGCCTGCGCTCCGGAGGTGAGAGGCGCACGTAAGCACGCATCAGTGGGAGCTTCGCAGCTGAACTCAGCCCAGCGCATCGCGGCACGCGTGACACTCCTACAATAATACTTGATAGGCAACAGCAGATAAACAGTTCCAAAAACCAAACGGTATTGCCCATAGAATATGAATGTAAACTGAATTCTGTTCATGCTGTTTTAACAAGAATGGTTACACGGAACCTAACGAGGGGAAAAAGGTCTGATGGGTCTAATTGCTCTATTCCATGGCACAGTTACAAATCAGCGGGCCTGTAAGAAAGAACCATACATTTCTCTCAAAAATACGAACTGAGAGGCCTGGGCGCGGTGGCTCACTGCCTGTAATCCCAGCACTTTGGGAGGCCGAGGCGGGTGGATCACGAGGTCAATAGATCGAGACCATCCTGGTCAACATGGTGAAACCCCGTCTCTACTCAAAATACAAAAAATTAGCTGGGTATGGTGGCGTGTGCCTGTAATCCCAGCTACTCAGGAGGCTGAGGCAGGAGAATTGCCTGAGCCCAGGAGGCGGAGGTTGCGGTGAGCCGAGATCGCGCCATTGCACTCCAGCCTGGGTAACAAGAGCGAGACTCCATCTCAAAAAAAAAAAAAAAAAAAAAATACGAACTGAGAAAAGGACCTTGGAGGAGTGACAGAAAAGTTAAAGTACAGTTTTAACGTATTAGACAATTCTTCATACTGTCTTAGAATGCTGCTTCTGGTTAAGGATTTGGTAGAGATGGAAAACTGCTCAACTTTAATTCCCACAATTCTAAAGAACAACAAACATTTCGGAGTATTGATCAATCTTCACTGAAAAAATTAAAAAGACTAGTGTCGACCGGGCGCGGTGGCTCACGCCTGTAATCCCAGCACTTCGGGAGGTTGAGGCAGGCGAATCATGAGGTCAGGAGATGGAGACTATCCTGGGCAACGTGGTGAAACCCCGTGTGTACTAAGAATACAAAAATTAGCTGGGTGTGGTGACATGTGCCTGTAGTCCCAGCTGCTTGGGAGGCTGAGGCAGGAGAATCACTTGAACCCAGGAGGCAGAGATTGCAGTGAGTTGAGACTGCACCATTGCGTTCCAGCCTGGCGACAGAGGAAGACTCCATCTCAAAAAAAAAAAAAAAAAAAAAAAAAAAAAAGACTTTCCCCGTGTTAGGAATGAGCAATTGCTAAACTTTTTCAAGACTTTACCCATTTTGTGACAGAGAAATAGAGCTTTTAATAGTGCAATGTTGCATATACGCGTAACTTGTTCTTTGAGAAATATAAACTCGAATTCACAAGTTGTCATGATAACGTATGCAGTAACACAACCATTCTACAACAGAATCACCCACAGGTAAAACACACGACCAGGCTTTGAGCTCACATCAATTCACACAGCATACAGTTGTGCTACAAGGAGAATTTCTTCATTATTTATTCTTTAGTTAATTGAAACATAGTTGGGAAAAAATGGTGCCAATTCCCCCCAGACAACACATGGATGTTTTTACTTTTTGGCCCACTTAGAATCCCAAAAGGACAAAAAAAATACATGGACCAATATTAGTACAGGAAACATGTTTTAAAGAACAGAGAATGAGCTCTTCATCCCACCTCAGTAAAGCTTGGGCTGATGAAGACAGGGTGCATTCAGGGTCCTCTCTTGTCATACGTACAAGCTGACGCTTGTTTCCCAAGCGTTATCGTAGTGGGTAGACTGTCTTTATTGTTAGTCCCTAATAGAATAAAATCAGTCATCACAATGAAGAAATTCTGAAGAGGGCAGTGAAGTGACAACAACTTCAGCTCGTCATCGATGTTATACAGAAACACAAAAGGAATCCCCGGCCTATGATGAATGAGAGGCCTTTGCTGTGTGTTCAGGACACCTCAGAGCAGGCACATAAAGTGCTGGGAGGTAACACAGCCCGTCTGGACGTCCTCGGGAGGGTGTGCCATGCAGGAGGCGATGCCCCCGTCCAGCACACACACAGGCACTTCCACCTGCTGCTGGTCCTGCTAAAGGTGTGAGGCTAAAACCGGCCTCTCCAGAAAAGAATGCTCAGTGTGTGCCGACCACGCTTCCCTTTTAATTTCCCGAGTATTCAACAGGAGGTACATTTTAACAAGAAAAAGTATCCCTAACAAACAGGACAGATGACTCCCTCAACAAGAGAGCAACTACGAACATGATACAAATTTAAATAAAAATGTTAAGTTCAACATGTTCATCATGGAGTTTCAAATCAGCAGTTGCTGTGGCAGGAAAGGAGCACATAGCTGGGCCCTTGCCTGCCATGGCTGTCCCGTGCCCGCCGTGGCTGTCCCATGTCCACGGCTTCTTCAAGGCAGGGAGGGCAGCTTCTCTCTTGGAGCTTTCTCAGTTTCTCAACAGATCTTCACTTGCTAGGCAGCCAGAAGCATGAGTTCACCCAAGAGTGAGTGCTTGGGTACACAAGGCAGAATCTTTTGGGAGATGAGAGCTGGAGAGGAAGTAAGAAGGAACAAAGGTACTTTTCCAGGGTCAGCTGTTTCTTAGGGCAAAGGCAGAGCCCACGAGGTAACCCTGGGAAAATGGGCTCACGAGTGAGCGGCGTGGATGGACAAAGTGTCTCTGCAGTAAGGGCAAGGCCGCCCCCCATGAGGCTCTGCGCACTAGCCACTCACCCAGGCAAGAGAGGGCTTCCTCTTCAGCCATGCCGAAGCCACGTTTCCAGTGCAAACATGAGTCTAAAGGTCGGAGTGTGGGGGTGGTGTTGGAATCCCCAACCTGAGTCTGACTGCACGAGGAAGACTCCCTTTTTTTTCAACGTACACCTTTGTCTTGGATTAATAAGTGCCTGGAGAGGTGAACTCTTGCATGTCTCTATTTTGGGGATTTTTAAAGGTTTTCCATGAACATTCATAGAGCCTGGTCAGCAGTGAGGAGTCCTTGTTGTGTGTGGACGGAAGGCTCCCTGGCACCCAGATGTCTCCCTTCGTCCTGGCTGACATAGAGCATGATGATCGTCTGCTCTTCACGTCCAGCAGGCTCAGAAAGAACTCGGAGTTTCCCTCGTGCCCTCGGGCCAAGCTTTTCAAGTCCGAGTGCCAGGGCTGGATGAGCTGGGGTTCGTGCGTCTGCTGGCAGCACAGTGGGTGTGCACAAGACCACCATTTGGGTATCTAACAAACACAGGCTCACAGAAGGGATTCTGGCATATCTGACAAAGCTTTTTGTCTGAGAGCCGAATTGAGCTTCCTTTCAACTTCATCTGCAAAAAGAAACCAAGACTGAGCATGTTGTCATGTGTTAAGTATACTTTTTTTTTTTTTTTTTTTTTTTTTTTTTTGAGACAGAGTTTCGCTCTTGTTACCCAGGCTGGAGTGCAATGGCGCGATCTCGGCTCACCACAACCTCCGCCTCCTGGGTTCAGGCAATTCTCCTGCCTCAGCCTCCTGAGTAGCTGGGATTACAGGCGCGCGCCACCATGCCCAGCTAATTTTTTGTATTTTGAGTAGAGACGGGGTTTCACCATGTTGACCAGGATGGTCTCGATCTCTTGACCTCGTGATCCACCCGCCTCAGCCTCCCAAAGTGCTGGGATTACAGGCTTGAGCCACCGCGCCCGGCTGTGTTAAGTATACTTAAAGTGGCTATGTTCTAGTTTTGCAGAGTTGACATGCGTGACTCCATGGGTTATTTTTATGAGACTTTCTTAAGTATCAACTTCTTGAAACAAAATACTAATGGTGTAAATAAAACCACCCTTAGTAACTGGAGAAGTAAAAAAGCTACACAAATGCTTTTCTTATTTCACAAAAGTAATTGCTGCTTGTCTGGCTGAGGCATATCTACCCAAGATCCTCTCCAACATTCTGTGGGCTCTGATCATTTCAAGCACGGCCTATTAGAAAGGCATGAATGTTAATGCCGCATGGGAGCACACAACAGTCGAATTTCAGGGGTCTCTCGTTTGCAAATAAGAAAAGTAAAGCACAGACAAATAAGGGATGTAGTCAAAGTTATATAGCTAATGAATGGCATATTCCTGGCTGGTCCTGGGAGACACCCTTTTGTTTCCTTAGATGTAACTGGTGAAACTGAGTCTTAATGCCATGGGTCCCTGTCTGATAACTAGGACTTGAGTTCTGAAAGTTATGAAGCTTTCCTACACAATTCACCTTTGTCAACCCAGGCAGCTTGGTCTATTGGCAGGATCAAGCAGCAACTTAGTGATTCGTCCTGCACTCCTTAGTTGCATCAGTCATTCCACAAACATGGACTAGAAGCCTTCAACATGCCAGGCATAGCCCTACGGACACTGAGATAAAGAAACGAAGTTCCCTGTCCTCGAAGAACCCAAACTCTCATAGTACAGGGTGACAACTGTGAATGCAAACACTAAGTAAAAGGTGGGTGAAAGAGAAGGTGATTACTTAAGAGGTCTGAGATGGCTTCGCAAGGGAAAAAATACTTCGGCTAAGTTCTGACTGGGCACTTAATGGGCCCAAAGAAAAAGCTAAGAATATCCCCGGCAGTGGGTACAGCATTTACAAAAGCAACCAAGTATGAAATACCAAGTCACGTCTGGAAAGTTCTGCTAAAGCGAAGATGTGCTGGAAAGCAAAGGTGGGGGAGATGGGCTGCATCTTCCAGGCCAGGGGGCGCCAGCAAAGGCTTCTAAGTGTGAGGGGAACACACCGGATTCCCACTCTGGAAAAAAAGACTCTGCCAGCCATGTGGAATTCAGGACCACAAGAAAGAAGTCTCCAGAAGGGGAGTACAGCATGGGGACCAAGAATGTGGGGTTCTGAACTGGTCTGGGAGGCAGCTCTGGGTGTGCCCATTTCCTGAGCATGTGACTGCTCTCTGCCTCAGTTTCCTCTCCTGTGAAATGGAGATGCTGACAGCAGATACTGCATAAAACGGTCATGATGACAAAAAGCTACCCTGACGTAAAATGCTAGGTCAGTGCCTGGCACACGGCACGTGCTGGGCAAGCACCTGATATTCTGCTGCTGCTCTCCTCCCCACAGCTCTCCCGCAGACTCTCTTAATAACCAGCATCCAAAAGGCGAGAAAAACGACACCGATGTTACACATACCAGCCCAGCCTTTGCCTCGGCCCACACAGACCTCAGTTTCTATGAGCAGGATCAGATTTTGATGTGTTGTAGTCACAGGGACCGAAAAAAAGAAAAACTGACAAAGACTCTTTTTCCATCAGTAAAGTCTACCTTCCATACGATGCTGACTGGCCAGGAAGCAGCTCCTGAGGATTGGCACTCACCTTATCATAGGTGTAAATTAAGTTTTCTGACTTGGCCAGGCCGAGAGCCACCTGCATGGTCCTCCTGGCGTGGACGCTGCCCCGCACGGCCCCTGTCAGGAATGGGCAGAGGAGCTGCACTGACCAGGTGTCGGGCAGCATCTGCAGCACCTGGGCTGCGTCGAATTCGGTGGCGTGGTGGTTTAGCAGGTCCATGGCGGCCACTGCCAGCTCATTGGCGGCGGGGCCGGCCCGCAGGTAGATGGCCAGCAGCGTGTGGAAGAGGCGCTGGCGGTGGGGCGGGTCCCGGCCCTCGGAGCACCACAGGCAGTAGTTCTCGGCCGCTGCAAAGTCCCGCAGCTCATGCACCAGGATATGCAGCGCCTTCTCATGCTCACCCAGCTTCCCGTGCAGGATGGCGCTCTCCATGGGCAGGCCAGCTCCCTGCAGCCTCTCTGTGAGACAGAATCCATGGCTCAGAAAGAAAGGAGACTGCTGGCCACCTGCCCAGCAACTGGCCTCCTGGGCTTCAGGAGGGGCAAAGTCAACCTGGTTCCCTCACAATGCCAAGCGCTGCCACTCAGATAACTGACGGAAGGTTTTCTTGCATTTTCACACTGTGGATCCGGGTGTTAGTAAAACAGAAGGCAGACTACTCAAAAGCATAGCTGGGCCACAGAACAATTCCTTTTTCCAGCATTTAGAGGATGAATATAATAAATGAACCACAACCTCAGACAGGCCCAGGGGCTCAGTATCAGCCTTCCAGGTCCCCAGTTACTCCATCATCACTGCTATCCTTTCAGGACAGTATCTTTTGACTAAAACTGGACACTAAGTCCCCTAAAATCCTAACAAATACTACTTCCCCCAAAAGGTGTGCTGAACCCCTTTATTCCGATTTAAAATAGATTTCATGGAATGGAATATGGGCTCACACAATTCAAAATCCACCTCTACATTATTCAACAAAAGGTTGCTAACAATAGGATTTTTTATTTGTTTCACCTGCAATTAAGTTTCCAGGTCCTAAGGAAAAGGACATAACCCAAAGGAAGCACCATTCCTGACCAAGGCCCTAGCCTTAGTGGGCTGTGTCTCACTGGCAAAGTCACCTTGCTTCCCACCCCATCTGTAACCTCCACCCCAGCCCGTCTAGAACTCCACCACCCTTATCTGCATTCTAATTAAACTCTGAGTCTCTAAGGACCAGAAGCGAGTCTCACCTGTCTTTATATCCCCAAGAGATTATAAGATCTCTTCCTACTGTGAAGAAATGTTATGAGGACAATCCTTAGTTCAGGGTCAAGGCTAATAATCACATTATAGGCATTTGAATCTTGTCTGTCCCTCAGGCCTGAAGAACATGGCAGACATTGCTAGCCGCATAGGAAAGGGCTGGCCCTACAAGGTATGTCCCTTATAGTGCTAGACACAGAAGTCACAATATGCATCGCCTTCAACCTCACAGTAGAAGGCCGACAAATAATTACTAAGCGGCTGCCATAGTTAAGGCCCCAGGAGAGGCACAAAGACGATTAAGAAAAGATCACCGTGGTGATTTATACTTCCACATCTATCATCTCATTTATATTTGCATCCCACAGCCACCCTGAGGGGACAGGCTGGGGTGGAATCATTTTTAAAACTTCCCTAGACTGACATCTCCCCATGTCATCTAACTAAGAAGGGATATCAAATTAGTGTTGGGTTTCCAGTGCTCCTCCCACAGTGCTACAGGGGATACCTTCATTGCTAGAAAGCTCCCCTGTGCTACCTGCAAGCACAGACTTATATCTAATGACTGCTCATAAAGGGCCTCTTCCGGGAGACTGCCTCTGACCCCTGTGCCCCTTCTGCCCTAAGACACAGTTTGTGGGTTCCTCAGCCCATCTAAAACTGTACCAGCCCTTATCTGCATTCCAATTAAACTCTGAGTCTCTGAGGACCAGGACCAAGTCTCATCCATCTTCACATCCTCAACGCACAGTGACACACTCTACATGCTCAAAAAAGCTGGCAGAATGCAAACATCGATCCACACACTTGTGGCTGGCCTGAGAGTTTTATAAGGAGATTTGTAAAGCAAAGAGGGTAAGTCAGGAGTGAATAAAAATATTCAATAGCTGGTACACTCTGGCAATGGTCAGTCAGGGATGGTAGCTGTGAGTCAACAAGAATTCACATCGCGGATCGCCACAGAAAGTCCTAATGTAGGTGCAGGTGCAAGCCAGAACTAGTGTTTGCTGGTCTCATGAAACACCATCCCACACCCCTGTTCTGACTCTACCGCACATTGGGCTGTGTGACCTGTGGCAAGTGGGGTAACCTCTCTGAGCTTCAGTGCACTCTTCTGTAAAAATGGAGGAATGACCGGACTCACTTCACAGGGTTGCTGTGGAAACTGTATGTCATGAGGCAGCCTTGGTGTTTTGACCTGTGCCTGGCATATCCAGTCAATCCTCATTATTTGTGGATTCTCTATTTACAGAGTCATCTACTCGCTGACATTTATTTGTAACCTCCCAATCAACACTTGCAGGAATTTCAAGGTCATCTGTGACAAGCACAGAGCCTGACACAGAGCGGGGGCCACAGGAGCAGCGCCCCCACTCCTTGCTTCATTTCCATTTCAGGGGCTATTTAGTGCTACTCTTTTTTGCATTTTGGTGCCTTTTGTTGGTGATTTCAGCTTAGTGCTGAAGTGCTGCCTGGCACTCCTAAGCTCTGTGGAGACAACATGTGTGTTAGACATGCTTTGTTACTGGTCAAAAATGGTATTAAAGGCCATTAAAGAAAAACACGTCACTAAACCCAGTGAGTATAAATCCAGAAATTCTATGTCTAATGTGGCAAGAAACTAGTTAATTCTACCAGTCGCAAGCACTGTGCTGCACGTGGAACTTTACACAATACAGAAACGGTGGTCTCTGTACCCCTGAGGAATGGAAACGCAAATCCCCTCCAAGACACCTGCAATACCTTCTTGCTTAGAGCTCGAGGGCCCTGAGCCTTAAGCAGCCCAAGAGTGGCCTGCTGGGGGCAGTGCCTACTGCAAAGGCTTGATCAGAGACTGGAGTCATCAGAGGGAACTATGACCCAGTGCTCTGACACTGAATAAAGATGCTCAAAGGTAGGGTCAAGACACACACACCAAAAGCTACCAGGGAGGTGCCAACATCATCAATCAAAAGGCAGTGTGCATCTAGAGGCACAAGAAGCCTCACTTCTCCCTCCAGGGAAGCTGACTTTATCAAAAGAGGCTCAAGGGCCACATGTGGTGGCTCACGCCTGTAATCCCAGCATTTTGGGAGGCAGAAACAGGAGGATCACTTGAGGCCACAAGTTTGAAACCAGCCTGGGCGACAAAGCAACATCCTGTCTTCATTTAAAAAAATATTTTTTAAAAAGAGGCTCAAGGAATCACCCCATGGGATCAACCAGGAATTGTGCCAAACCCTTCTCTCTGCTTCCTCCCACCCACTTGATACGAGTTTTTCTAAAGGGAGACAATACTGAGATCATCCTCACCGATGAGAAAGTGGACTCGGTATAAATCGGACTTCTGGAGCAGACGCCGCAGCTTGGCCTGCGTCTCAGTGGCCTCTGCACCCTCGCCGCTGGCAGAGGCCCTCTGCTGCAGCACCTCTTCCAGGTAGAGCACAGCTAAGTTGGTGTGATACTCTTCTTTCTGCAGGAAACAGTGGGAGCCAAGCAAACAGACAGTGTTTTCAAGTGGGAAGGCCAAAGCTCTCCCCCGTCAGCCAAGGCTTGGACATGGGAACGGCGCTGACGTGAGCTGGGCGGACGCTCACTCGCTGGATCAAAACCTTCTCAGAAACCACAATACAGAGATGCATTGACCATCTATGGGGAATATAACAAAAAATCACCTCTCATTTTGAGAAGTAAGGGCCACAGGATTTAGGTAACCTACAAAAAGGTATAGCTCCTTTTATTTCCTTTAAGGATTATAACAAAGAAGGAGAAGAGAAGAAAAATAAAAGCTGAGCAGACGTGAGACGGAAGGAGAAATAATAAAGCTACCTATTGCTCCAGGTCTCTTCCCGCAAGTCTCCAGGCCCCCATTAGACCATCAACAAGTAGGATGGTGCACCCGGGGAACAGACGTTACACAGAACCACATGCCAAAAAGTGTTCTAGTTCAATCCTGTCTTTCCAGCCCACGCTCTTGAGTCTAAGTTCTACAGTGCTCACCTGCAGTCTCTTGTCTATCACGAGATGTTCCAGATACTTCACAAGGGCTTTAGGGTATTTTTTAAGGCATTTGATAACATCGTCTGGATTAAAACTATTCTTCTGTTGTTCATCCAAAGGTCTCTTGGTGAAAACCTGAACTCCGACCTGAAAGAGGGGAAGCAATACAGCGACTGTACTTTTTAAACCCACTTTTTCTTCATTTATTTTGGTCACTGCATATTAAAGCTTTGGATAAAATCATCACTTAAAATATAATGACATATTCAACATGTACAGCTTTTTGTATGTCAATCATATCTCAATACAGTGGTTTAAAAAATATAATTATAGAGAAAAACAGCCCAGCATGAAGCACTGTCAAAGGCCAGAGGGCAACAAATCAAGATAGAAAACGCAGCCTAAACTCTGAAGCCCTCCTCACACACCCTGTGCAAATTGGAAACTGAAGAAGAAAGCATTTATTGGTGACAGATGTTGACAACCCATGGAGTAACAATTTTATAATATTAAGATCATCCAAGAACAAGCATGGCCGGTAGCCGGACAGTACTGTATGTGAAAAGATATCGAAAGCGCTGAAATTTCTGTACAGTAAACTCACTTCTCTGAACATGGATTATCTACTCTGGGTTAATTTTGATAGGTGGTTCATCTGAGCTCTGAGCCTCCAGTCCCTGAGCAAGTTTCCAGGCTGCCTTCCTGTGTCTATCAAGTGGAGGCACTGGTCCAATCCTCTGGTTCAAGGAAAGGACAGTGAGGCAGGTAGGAAAGCAGCTCTCCACTGCACCTCCTTCGAGCCCTTATGTGTTCAGGTTCTATCCTGTGCATGCACACATGCACCCCCTATAAGCCCAATACATACATATATCAAGTATTATGGTACAGATTTTGGATTCTGTAAGCCTGGATTTGTGTCCCAGCTTTACCAACTATAGCCTCAGCTTCTTCACCTGTAGCTAATGCCCACTGAGGGGTTGCTGTGATGTTTAAGCAATGACCTTTGTCAGGTGACTGTCCACCAGGTAGCACACTGAATTCCGTGTATGTTCTGCTGCTATCATCTATGAGCATCGGGAGAGGCCTAAACTTTGCAACGGCACTGAGATCCATGTTGCAGGTATGTGTGAGTGGGTCAAGATGTGTTCTGCAGGCAAAGCAAAGATGGAGTCACAGGTACACAAAGGCAAAGCAAAGATAGAGTCACAGGTACACAAAGTGCCAGTGCCTGGTTCTGATTTTCCAGGGAAGGCAGCACCACAGAGGATATGAGAGTATATTCCAACTCGGGTTTTAGAAAGGCAGATGCAGCACTCAGAAACTCTCCATTCAGGACCAAGGTCCTGCATCAGAAAGCTCATTTTGTCTCTCTGAGGGGACCCATGGAAGCGTATGCTTTTCACGGTGAGAACTGAAAAGCTTGCTGTGTTCCTCCCAGTAACCCGTAGGGCGGTACTAAGGATACTGTCCTAAGCCTGCTACCTCCGCTCTAGCCAACAGGTGCTTTTTCACTGCCAGCATTTCTGTCTCCAAGACAGGCCGAGTCTTGCTCATGGCTCCCCTCCCTCCTCCAGGCCCACAACCTCCATGTTGGCAGTGGTGGGAGCAGGGATGAGGGCAACAGGCTGCCCGGCGTGGCCCAGGTCTGGGTGCTTCCTCCTCCCAAGGATCAAGTCCTGCAGGATAGCCACCTAATCCTGCTCCAGAAAACAGCAGCGTCAGACTTCTGAAGGGTTGAGGAGCAGAATGCACAGACACAAGTTCATAAGAAGACACTAAAAATGCAAGCTGGCTATGCGTCTTGCTTTTCTATAAAAGCGGCTTGCCCCAGCAAAGGATTCTCAATGCAGTGTTTCAGCAGCAAGACGCAGAACTGCCCCAGAGCTGGATCCAGAGAACTCAAGGGAAGTATTAAAAGGGGCACAAAGAAAAAGAGGAGGAGGTTGAAATGTAGCCTTCTTTTCCCCTCCTAAAATCAAAGTTTTTTGGACCTATTTTTACCACTTGCCCCTAGCAAAGATAATGCCTTTTTGTGAAGCACAAACCTCTTCACTTTTCTGCAGGACCCAATCAGCATAGGCCCACACTAGCTCCTTGTCTAAGCAGTAGGTAAGAAAATCCACGATGTATTCATACAGGTCTGAGCGTGTGGAGTCCTGGACATCGCCATTCACAATGTTCACCCACAACTAGAAAGGAATGGAAAAGAGAAAAAAATCATTAACGGTACTTATCTCAGAATTAGCCGAGACAGGGCATATGTTTACTAATCTGGCTTTTTAATACCTTTTAAAGTAGTTGGAAAAACTGTAAATGTTTAAATCAATTTTAGTTTTTTTGGAGAAATAAAGAAATGTAAAAATATGCAGTCTAAGAAATGAAAAAAATTAAGCCCCAGCTTCTTTTCTCTTTCTTTTTTTAACAATAACAGGGTAAACAGAAATTATGCAGGGAGGTGAATATATTAAGAATGTTTCTTCATGAAATAAACAAAACGGTTGCTGATGACATCCTGACATAGAAGAGATTCACCTACCAGCATCAGCCAGGTTCTCCGTCACAGAGATTCCTGATTTTGAAGTCCCCTTTGGAATGCGACAGGCAGATCTGTGCATTTAGAAAAGCTTTGGTGACTCTGTCCCCCACGTTCTCACTGCCTTTTGTGCAAGGGGCTCAGGATAGACTCCAGTGATAAAAGCCTTTTGCTCTTTCAGCCAGAAACTTCTCTACCGTGTTAGGTGAAGCTGACTTTCAGGACCATGGGATGAGGCAGCATCATGTGGGGGTGGAAAGAATGGCGGTTGCGTGGGTTCCTTCTGCACGACCTGCACGGCGTGCCTCACCTTCCTGCACAACACACCACCCCTCCAAGCCACAGCACCAGGAAGGAGCCCAGAGACAGGGGTGGCATATGAATTCTGGAATTCTGATGTCAGCATACGAACACATTTTATGATACTAGTTTCTTCAACACAGAAACCCCCCCCAAACCAAATAATCACACATACCTTGAAATGTGCCATTTTAGATAAAATCCTAGCACATATAGAGATTTATTCCATATCACTTCAGGTTTGCAAGTCTATCTCTCTACAGCTCTGCTAAGGTTATTACTCTACTTATATAAAGCTGTAATTTTGGGAACACCAGGTTTTTGAAAATGAAAATTTTATCACTGACACCCAAATATCTATTCTTGGACATTGGGTACATGTTCATGGGAATTCCCCCCATCCTTTTTTTTTTTGTTTGTTCTGCTCTGCAATCAGGTTACCACAATAGTCTCTCAAAGCAATCAAACACCAAGTACGTGTTCAGTCTTGCCAGAGTCATAAGGTTCACTTTAGCTTGGTGAATATGGCTGATGCTCTTGGCCCCTCACAATAAAAAGCAAAAAGGCACATCATGAAATGACATGGTATAATACAAGTGCATAATTAATAACGAAGGGGAAAAAGTCTCCTGAGAATGTGAGATGAGGTTTTTCTCAAGATCAGTAGCAAGATATAAGATACAAGATCTGAGAGTGCTAACAAATCGATGAGATTTCAATTGGGGTGCAGGACCCCTGCCAGGCCAATGGAGCGCTGGTTCAGATCCCAGCTCTACCAGACAGGTGGCTTTGTGCAAGTGACTGGCCTGCATCAGCTTTGGTTTTGTCACAGGTGACACAAGGATAGTAACTTACCCAGCTCACTGGCAACAGTGATCGTCACTAACAGTAGAAATGATAAATCCAACTGTCATTCACTGCCTACATTTTCTGTTTAGATGGAAAAGGCAGCTTAAACCCTGAAAGGCAGTGCTATATTATGACCTGTGGCTCTGTGGGATATCATATTTTCATTTCTTAAGTTTTCAAAAACTCAGTATTGATAATGTTCTTTAAAGAGATGGAAAGATAATGAGAAGAAAACTCCTTGGCCAACATTTCTCAAGGAATTCACTCTCTAAAACAGAATCATTTTTGCTCTGTATAAAAGGGTATACATCAGGCAAAAGTGGTCTCTATCAACTTGTGAATTTTTTTTTTTAAGTAACACTAAGTATTACTTACATGGTACTGATTTTAAAATCACTTGGAAATGCTTCTAGACTCACCTGAACCGCAGCAGCGTCTTGGTTATTATAACGATAGAGCAGTCCAAGTGCAAAATACCTGAAACAGAACAATGTGGTAAGTACAGCCTCTCCCCATCAGCTCCTGGAGGCGACCTCTGCACAGTGACACACTCAGATATTCTAGTCAACTTGAGTTCAGCCTGGGCACAATGGCTCATGCCTGTAATCCCAACACTTTGGAAGGCCAAGGTGGGTATCTGGATGGCTTGAGCCCAGGAGTTCAAGACCAGCCTGAGTAACAACATCGTGAGATCTCGTCTCTATTTAAAAATTCAAAAAAAAGTAACCAGGTGTGGGGTACACATCTGTAGTTCCAGCTACTTGGGGGTGCTGAGGTGAAAGGATCACTTGAGCCCAGAAAATTGGGGCTGCAGTGAGCCCTGATTGTGCCACTGCACTCCAGCATAGGTGACAGAGACCCTGTCTCAAAAAATATACGTGTGTGTGTGCATGCGTATGTGTACGTGTGTGTGTATATATATACACACACACACACACACACACACACACACATATGTACAGTTCAACAACAACAAATAACCAAAGGATTCTCATTTCTGTTTATTTACTTATGGTACTAAAAATGTATGCTCTATCAACTTCAAAAAAGAATCTGATTCCAATCTAAGATGAGCTGAAAAAATAAGCTACGGAAAAATCACATCTGGAATTGCTTTACAATTTGTTTCAAATATTAATATAATTTCATATGTCTTTCATCTACCACTATTAACCTACATGAGGTACTAGAAGAATATGCAGAAAGTACGCTTCCTAACCAGTGACTGAGAAGGAGGGCAGGGGGTCCCAACATGAAGAACAGCAGGAAGTGCCAGTGTCCGGCCCTCAGAGACCAGAGTCACGGAGCATCCAGGGGAGTGCCTAGAGTTCAGGAACCTGGGTTTCAAGTCCAGCTTTGTTACTTATAACCTGCGTGACATTGAGTATAAGTAGGTTAACTTCCCCAGCCTCCATCTCCTCACCTATAAATGGAAAAGATCAGCAATAGCATTGGCATTGCCTGGGCAGCAAGCCCTTGGCACCCTCCTAAAGTCTGCAGGGGTGCCACGCTCCTGGTCCTCCTCCCAGCAGGAAACTGGAGTAAACGGACCAGAGAGAGGTCAGGCTTCTTCCCTCTAAGAGCACACTCTAAAGATATTGAGGTATCTGCTTGAATCCTTCTGTTTTCTTTAACCTTCTGGAAAGTCAGGCTGACTCTACAGATCCCACCATCCCTCGTCACTACCATGAGGTGGTGGTGTGCTTTCTGGCTCCTGAAGAAACTAACATTGATTCCATAGCATATCCAAATAGCTGATGGAAACTGCTGGAAAAGCCAGTACCCATGTGGAAGGCTCTGACATCTTAGGCACCTAAATGAGACCCAGCACAGTGACCCCAGGGTCTCTGTGGGAGTTCATCCACACTTTTGTCATGTTGAATCCTTCACAAAAATCACAGAGCAAAACAAACTCTTACTCTGTAAACGAAGTTGAGGGATCCAACCCCTCTCATTTTTAAAGATAAGAAAACGGAGGCCTAGAATGGTTGGGCTATGTATTAGCTGCCCAGAATGGGGAAGCGGCTGGCCCTAACCAAGCCAGGCACTATGCATTAATAGCCCATGGGGTACATAAGGCCATCTACTAACTCATACATGTAAGGAAGGAAGAGTTTTTTGTTTTTTGTTTCTTTGAGACGGGGTCTAGCCCTGTCCCCAGGCTGGAATGCAATCGTGTAATCATTGGTCACTGCAGCTTCAACCTCTGGGCTGAAGCAATCATGCTTCAGCCTTCCAAGTAGCTGGGACCACAGGTGCACACCACCACGCCCTGCTAATTTTTTTAAATTTTTAGTAGAGATGAGATCTTACTATGATGCCCAAACTGGCCTTAAACTCCTGGGCTCAAGCAATCTGCCCACCTCAGCTTCCCAAAATGCTGGGATCACAGGTGTGAACCCCCATGTCCAGCCAAGGAAAGTGGAGTTTAAATTCCTACAATCAACAAGATCAGCAAGATCAAGAAGCCTCCCTTTGAATCTATTTATCTACACATTTATTCAATTCAGTTGTCAGTAACTAAAGTGCACTGTAAATTTTGCCAATAAACATGTGGCATCTTCTACAAGTGAATCCAAGGTTGACTAGAGAGGAAATTGAAAAATAACTTCATTGACTCAAAAGCCCGTTACTAGTTCCAAACTGTACTCCAAATCATTCAAGAATGGGTATGAGAACAAATGCCCTCTAACACCCCTTCAAGTGGTCTGCAGACGGTGGTGACAGTGAGGGCACCTAAGGAGCACGTGCATCTGCTGTCCCTACGATTTCATGGCAGTCACCTATAGGTCCTTGGGAACGCAAACATCACACTGGCTTAGTCAGCTTTATGAGGATTTCCCCAGCAAAGGGCCTCGGTAAGGGTGTAGAAGCCCTGGTTGTATCGGGAGGAGAGCACTCACTTTTTGTGCTTCTCTAGCCAGGCGGCACTGTCCGTCAGAAGACAAAAGTTCTCGGTGACAAGGAGGTCCAGCAGGCTGTCGTGGTCGGCCTCCGCGTACAGTTTGAGCAAGGCTGTGTCGATGTCCTCCTTGTAGCCGTTTGCTACCTCTGTGCTGCGGACCTCGTTCAGGTAGCTCATGAGGAAGCGTTTGCACTTGGCCATCTTCTCCTGATCCCCCTGGGTCAGCTGGTTCAGGTCTGCGTACTCATGAAGAGGAGGGTGGGACCGGGTGAAGGAGGAGGAGGTGGGCAACAGGAAGGGGTAGAGAGAGATCAGCTCCCGGACATCAAGCTGGCCGCTTCTGCAATTACAGTGTCAAACTAAATGAAGCAAAAAGAGAGAAGAGTACACATAGGCACACAAAACAGCACTGGAGGGGAGTGCACAGTGGCACACGTTCACAGGGGGCTGGGGAGCTGGGGACAGGGTAAGCATGTCGGAGCAACCGTTCTAATCTGCAAGCGCAGCAAAGACCATCCAACTGGGTGTTGACACCTGGCTCCCAAAAAGAACAGGGGACGAAGGTAAAAGACATGTACGCAACTGGTGTGAGAGTGGAACATCAAAATGCGTATGATGAAGTGAATAGCCAGCTGAGCCTGGAAACCAAGGCAGAAAAAGCAACACCTAGGATAATACACCATCAGCGTCTGCAAAGGCAGCATCGCAGCTCTGCGGAAACCAGCATTTTCCTGGCACTAAATTACAAGCAGATTTGTTGAATGGTCCTGAAAGAAGGGACTTTACAGAAACATTAACTTACAACTTCCTCACCAATATCTCACAACAGAAGACACAGAAGTATTCATGTGGCCATTTCTGTGGGGACTGTCGTAGAACTTCAGAGTGTAACATTCAGATGCAACAAACAGTTCCTTTCCCATCTCCTCCCTGGAAGCTGCTCATCTTGGCTACAATCAGAGCGGGAGCTGTGGATCTCAAACCTGGCCCAGCTGCGGAAAACCTCCCGAGGAAACAGAAGCAGGGGCCACCCCACCCCAGACACATGAAACGGGGAGGAAGGGCCCAGGATCCACGCTGTCTGCGATGTTCAGTGCATCCTCCTTCACCCAAGCTCTGATCACTGTCCTCCTCTACTGGTTTTCGCTTCTTGAGTTCAGGAACCTGGGTCTCAAGTACAGCTTTGTTACTTATAACCTGCGTGACCTTGAGTATAAGTAGGTTAACTTCCCCAGCCTCCATCTCCTCACCTATAAATGGAAAAGATCAGCAATAGCATTGGCATTGCCTGGGCAGCAAGCCCTCAGCACCCTCCCAAAGTCTGCAGGGGTGCCACGCTCCTGGTCCTCCTCCCCAGCAGGAAACCAGGCTGCCTTTCCTTCCACTCCACTCAGCCTCTCCTGACTTCCCATGGCTTGTACAACCCACAGGATAAATTTCAAACCTCTTAGTATGGCATTCAAGGCTCTTCCAAACTGATCTCAAGCTACCCTACAACTTCAGCCTCCAGCATCCCCCCCACACCCCAACACTTCTACTAGACCTACTTATTTTGCCAGTTTGTAAATTTCATGCCTCTCAGCCTTTGCTGTTGCTGTTCTCTTGCCTGTAGCAGTGGTTCTTGGTAGGAAGCAATTTTGCTTCCTGGGGAACATGTGGCAATGCCTGGAGATAATTTTACCATGACTGGGGTGTGGGCGTGCTATGGCATTTAGTAGGTAGAGGCCAGGGCTGATGCACTGAACCCCTGCAATGCACAGGACAGTACCCTCTGCTCAAAGATCTATCTGGCTCAAAACGTCCACAGTGCCACAGCTGAGAATTAAAGTACAATTCTTGATTTGAGAAATTTCTGCTCATCATTTAAGATCCAGGATGAACCCAGTGAGGATTCCTCCACTGGCTGATGTGAGTGCAACTCTCCCACAGCAGAGTGGGACCTGTGCTGCAGGAAAGGCACACATCCAGTTTCCACGCTAGAATGGGCATGCCAGAGAAGCAGGCACTGGGTCACCCTTCCGTCCCTTGCTCTGACGCTCAGGCCACATTTGCTGAATGAAAGAAGAGCTGATACAGGGACAGGCTGCAGATTGTCTAAGGGAAGAGACACATAGTCCACGTCTCCAGGTTATGAACGATCAGTGTTCTCTTAGTTACCAACCATGACTAGTTGGCAACTGTGGCCTCCAGTATGACACGGGGAAGGAGTCTGAGGACGGGTCCCAGTTCGACAAGGACAAAAAAATCATGATTTATTAGCAATATTTCCTGTGCACAGAAAAGGAAGTGGAATCATCTTTGTCTTAGGATTATCTTCTTCAAATATCAATTCTCAGGCTGGACGTAGTGGCACATGGCTGTGATCCCAGCACTTTGGGAGGCTATGGCAAAAGGATGACTTGAGGCCAGGAGTTTGAGACCAGCCTAGGCCACATAGTAAGAGTCCGTCTCTACAAAAAATAAAACAATTAGCCAGCAGTGGTGGCATATACCTGAAGTCCTAGCTACTCAGGGGGCTGAGGCAGGAAGATCACTGAGCCCAGGAGGTCAATGCTGCAGTGAGCTATGACTGTACCACTGGGTGACAGAATGAGATGCTGCTTCAAAGTGGAAAAAAAAAAAAAAAAAAAAAAAAGAAATCAGTTCTCTCAGTCACACTTTGACCAAAACCGAACAGAAATTTAAAGTTAAGCCATTAAGAGAGTGAGGTGCAGAAGTAGAGGATCATCGTCCTATTAACAAACAGGCCCCATATCTATTCTCTTACAAAATCTAGGATACTTCTAGGAATCCATCTGTGGACAATCACCTAATGCTTCAGATTAACTCATGAGAGAAAGAAGACACCTTGGGGTACACCCATGACCCCCAGTGAGGAGGTCTTCAACACTGCAGGGTAACACAAGATACAGCAGAAAAGAGCGTAGGTCTAAAGGGGCAAAAAATCAACTTAAACCCCAAAGCTACGGGTCTTTCCAAGAACAGAGAACAGCACATAAGAGTTGCATAAGAAAAAGTGATATGGGGCCTCATTATTCAAGGAATGATTCCTTCTTTACTCAGAAATCCATTGTCTACACCCGATTTTGTAACAGAGTGCAAGATGAGAGCCAGAGTGGATGTAAGGACATGGCTGGTCGTGGGCAGACCTCCTACAGAACAGGCAGGGGAGGCATTCTGCTCAAGTCACTACTTAGATGAAAATATCTATTTGTGGGCTTCCTATACATGCTATTTCTTAGATAGCTGTAAACTGTGCAGAATCTATTCTGGAGAGACATTCTGAGAACTTACTCTAAAGGCAGCACCTGAGTAGCATATTTCAAGACTCTCATAGCAGGTCTAACTTAATCTTCTGCCAAGAGTGCTGAGCAAGACCTGGGAGAGCTAACTCCTGCCTCACTGAGCTCTCAGCTGTGGGGTGACAGCAGCCTCAGCGTGGCAGCGAGGCGTGCCTATAGGGCAGGCGTGGCAAGCGGGGGAAAGGGGAGAACGCACTCGACAGCCCACAAGCACGTCCGACAAGCACAGGAGTAATCACAGTGCCAGAAGGGACCTCCTTAAGAGAAACTCAATTTTCTAGCTGGGCGCAGTGGCTCACGCCTGTAATCCCAGCACTTTGGGAGGCCGAGGTGGGTGGATCACGAGGTCAAGAGATCGAGACCATCCTGGTCAACACGGTAAAACCCCGTCTCTACTAAAAATACAAAAATTAGCTGGGCATGGTGGCACGTGCCTGTAATCCCAGCTACTCAGGAGGCTGAGGCAGGAGAATTGCCTAAACCCAGGAGGCAGAGGTTGTGGTGAGCCAAGATCGCGCCATTGCACTCCAGCCTGGGTAACAAGAGTGAAACTCCGTCTCAACCAACCAAACAAACAAACAAACAAAAAGAGAAACTCAACTTTCTAAGAGCTGACCAGGAATAGAACACTGAGAAGGTCTTTAGAGGATGAAGGAAAGTTCCGTAGGTCTCCCAGAAGTTCTGTTATTTTTTCCCTAAGCTCACAGCCTCTGGTAAAAATCTCTGGAGATAAAGAGTGAACCACAGTGCTTTCCCAGGAGTCCTCTGCATGTTAGCAGATCCACTCTTTAGCATTTTCTCCTGGCAAAACAATCTTGATGCTTACATGGGCCTAGTGTCTGTGCCCTTCCTCTGCTCCATCTGAGACATCTGGGTGAGGGGTGACAATGATGAACCAGCATTGGGGGGGATCTGCTGTCACACACAACCCCCAACACGTCCACCTGAAGCACAATCTAACGACGCAACACATCCCGCTGCAACGTCACACCGGAAACGCAGGTTCTGGCCACAGAGGGACACTGTGGTGGCAGTCTTGCTACCAGCACCTCAAATTACCTGAAGAGCTCTTTAGCTTCCAGGAACTGAAGCTGTGCAAACTGTATAAATCCCGCCTGCTGCAGAATCCTTCTGTACATTACCTGCAAGGAAAGACAGGTGTAACCTCTTAGCAAATCCTGAAACTATCATGGCAGGGTTAAATTTGTCTAACCCAAGCTAAATGTTCATTACAAGACAAATGTAAAATTACAAGTTAAGGAAAAAACAAGACATATATGAAATTACATGTATCTGTCTCTTTATAGATTTATTTTCATAATTCCCTAGTACTTTCCAAATGCACGCCTCGGTCTCTGAGTGTCCTCCTCATTAACTCACAGGACTTCAATGAGTCCCTGTACTTGTGTTGCTGAGTTGGATATCAACAACCCTGATGTTTCTGGCAGTCTAGGAGCTGCCTGGCCTTCTTCCACTCTTCTGGAGTTGAACTCACAATAGCACCTCTCAGAGACTCGCTCAGAGCACAGGGCCGACCCATTTCATAACGAAACATAAACACCCAGGCTTTCTTAGCCAGAGATGCAGAAATGCTGCGTGTTCCATCTCCTGCTGGTGATGCCCAACCCACTCTAACAACCAGCATCCGACGCTCCTGCAATAAAGGTGCCAGTTTATCTTGTTTACTCCACTACGACCCATGTTTCCATGACCACTTTGTTCTTGTTACATCCGGCAATAGCAAAACGCACGTTAGGAACCTGCTATGTGGGTCCCACGCCAGCCCCCTCACCGTCCAGCACGGCTGGTGTCCGAGTCCTGTCCCTCGTCCGTATGAAATGGCTCCTGGACATGTTTCTTCACTCCGTTCCCATAGATGCCACCACCATAGCCCGGGCTCTAATTGTCTCATGAGTAAAGACTGTGTTTTAATTACCCTCTCTGACTTAGACACCTCCCCCTTCCAACCTGTCCTTCCTTTTGACAGCCACACATTTTGTGAAGGCACAGCACACACAACACTCACCTAGTGTCTCCCACGACTAGCTTAGCATCTGCCTTTCAGTCAGTGCTCAGTGATCAACTCTCAGATCCATATGTATGAAACTCCACTTCCATTGTCACTCACTATCCCCATCTTACAGGAACAAAAATTCTGCCCAGAGATGTTAAGTTTTTAGCCCCAACTTACTAAAATCAGAATTGGTAGGACCATTAAAACCAGACATTTCCGATTCTGGAGCCCAAATCTTTCCACGCACTGATTCTTCCAGGTACACAGCAGGCAGTTGGTGTGTCACCCACTGAAGGAACAAGGGAAGTGGAGCCTCAGTGCTGAAACGCTATCAATCCTGTTCTCTCAAATTACCGTTCAAAGGGCTTTCACTCAGCACCACAAGATAGGGTAGAGAAAAACAAAAAACAAACAAACAAACAAAAAAACCAACAACAAAAAAACACTTTCACTACCCAGTAGTTTTAAAAGCCTCTCAGAAGCATAGCAACCATTCCTCACCTACTTCCAGTAGAAATCCCCTTAGAGACGTAAAAACAAAGCAAGCTACTTAAACCTCTCAGTTTTCTCTTTACCATCTGTCTTTATTTTCTTCCCTGAAACCAGCCATTTCTGACCTAAAGACTGACCCAATTATAACACCTAACAATAAGCAAAAGGAAAAGGGGCAAAAGTTCCGTTGCCTGGGAATACCAGTTCCATTTCTGAAAGTAGAAACACTGGAGGCCAGTCACTTAGCAGAAGGGATGCAAAGGACCCATCAGCTGCAGTGGAAAAATTCTCAATCACACCCAGGCTTGGTGAGGAGAAAACAACTGAACGGCAATTTATTCCTTAAGGCGGTAGGATCTAAATGTCATCCACTCTTCCCCTATCTGCAGGGAAATGGAAATTACTTTTGTGGGCACTCCGGATCTCCAAGAATAAGGGGTTATTTTCTATACTCTAGTCTGGGAATCCTACTTGCACACTTGGAAGGAGAATCCAAAGAAGTTTTTCATTCCGGATGTAAGCATCACAGATGCTGAAGCCTGGGATGATACAGAGAACACCGTCGGATTTCACCTACAAATGCCTGATCAGAAACTTTACCAAGCACGGTCAAGTCTTGGTTCTCTGAAGGCGACAGTCTCACTTCCAAACTGACCTACTATGATCGATGCCTCCTCCTGCTCTCTGCTCAGGTGATCCCGAGCCATGAAACCTGGAGCCAGGTAGGGTGTCAGGGAAAAGATGAGATGGACGAGTACATATGAAGGACAGAGAACAAGAAAGTCGGTTTATCTCCAGAGCTAACTCAACAGTGGAAAGTCCAAGTCTCTATTTTCATTACCAGCTCATCCTTCAGTGTAATGCAGTGGTACAATTTCCCAAGTGAAGACAGTAAGTCAGCAGAGCAGCCCTCTAAGGAGCTACTCTATGCTGTACAGAGGCTGCAGGCCAAATGCCTCCCCCAGGCTTAAGAGGCTGCATGGATTCCGGAAGCAAGTTGAAACTGAAGTCAAAATCCTTATTATTAGTATTATATTTCTGAACTGAGATTTCTTACACTTGTGATTTGGGGAATTGACAGAAGATTCTAATCTAAAGATTTCTAAACCTGTTTCCAAGGCTGCATTGTCTAAGTTAAATATCATACAAGCGCTTCTGGAGAGAACAGTTCTTCCAAGCACTAAATTCAAAGGGCAGCTTCTTTCACGGCTCTGCCTTACTATGCACTGCCTAACAAAATACACAACCTTCCTAACTAATGGAATGTGACTCAGCCTTGAAAAGGAAGGAAATTCCAACACATGTTGCAACACAGATGAACCCGGAGGACACCGCGCTCAGTGCAGTCAGCCAGTCACAAGATAAATACTGTATTATTCCCCTGATACGAGGTCCCTAATGCAGTCACAGACAGAAAGCAGAATGGGGGCTGCCATGGGGGCTGCCAAGGGCTGGTGAGGGGTGTAGGGTGGGGAGGTGGGGAGTTCAATAGTAAAGCATTTCTGCCTGGGAAGATGAAAAGGTCTGGAGATGGATGGTGCTGATGGCTGCACAGCATTGCGAATACACTCAATGCCACAGAACTACACACTCAAAAATAGCTAAAACTGTAACATTTATGTTATGTGTGTTCTACTACAATTAAAAAAAAAATTATCCAGGTAGATGTTTTTCCTTTACTGAATTTTGGTAGTAGCCAAAGGCTTCTCATTTCTTTGGTGATCTGTGCTGGTACAGACTGAGGTGAAATGCTCTGAAATCAGAATGTGGGTCTGAGTGCAGGCTCTTCCCGTCATTAGCTGTGTGGCCTTGGGTGGGTTATTCTGTCTCTCCATGCTGCATCTTCATCTTTATACAGGGAGCAGAGCCGTGCAACCTCAGAGCTGGGGTGAGGACTAAGAGAGTACAGTTGGGTGTGGCCGTCACAACAGTACCTGGCATGCAGTAAAGCACACAATAAATGTTGTCTCTCTCTTTTAGCACTTCTAACAAATGCCAGGCTTTAACTCTTTCCATCATCTTCCAGGTCTGTCTGCTTGATTCTGTCGCACCACTGTGAGTAATGGAGGGAGAGGGATACATCCTTTTCTAATAAAAGAGCTGAAGAAAATCAGGTTTTAAAAGGAGACTTCCCACAAGCAGCTGGAACAACCACACGATGGCCGCACCCATGCCCTCACGTGACAAGAGCCAGTTCCTCAGATATGGCGCCTTAGGTGGCTACACCAGATCCTAGGCCAAATGTGATACAAAAACGCATCAAGTGGTGAGGCCTGGATAAGGAATACAATGGAGTCATTTACTGCAACTCAGAAAAATATTTTCTTTCAAGTTTGTAAAAACTAGGTAGGTCAAATGTGGGCTCACACTAGAACATTTTTCATCGTTATAGTTAGAGCTTTTTGAGAAAGATGACAACCACAACCAAATGAGTCTGCAAATACCCCAGCAGGATACACACCACATAAACCCTGGAGCCAATGGGAGATAAACGGGCACACAGGGACGATGAAGACTCCTGAGCCAGGGGCAAGGACAGCACGAACAGGCTGCCTCTCCCCTTCCTGAGCTTCCCTCTCCAGCTACGGCTGGTTCTTTAATTCAAGGGATGGGATGGGACTAAAAGGCAGTGGGTCACCCTGACTAGACTATACAATCAACCACAGACCTGGGGAAGGGAAACTGGCAAACACTGTTGCTGACAGTCAGCTACCAAGGTGCAGAGAACAGCCAGACCACTAAGATTCATATATAATGCCCTGTAACATGGAGAATATAACACGAATATATGAGACATAAGTATCATTCTTGTAAGTACAGCCAAATTCTAAACACAAATTGGCATGAATGTTATCATTTTAACTATATTCATACCGCCCTTTTTTTCACTTATTAAAAAAACCATGTAAGATATTGTCTAAACAGAAACATCTTTCCCAAATATATTGGGTGGAACAAGAGGGCTGTGGCATTCTCCTTGTTAAAAAGGCAATGTGTCCTAATTGAATAAGTTTGTAAACAGGTGTGCATGTATATGTATCTATATACACAAATGCTGTTATATAAAATATATAAACTGAAATGCACTTAGTCATATAGATATAAAATATACAACTATATCATGCATAAAATGATGCATTTATATATATATATATATATATATATATATATATATATACACACACACACACACACACACACCCATACATACATATATTCCTTTTTGAGGATTCACAAAAAGTTAATAAAATACAGTAATATATACCCTCTTAGGGACTCACAATAAGTATTAGTATATATTGAAGGCGCTAAGAAAACCTTTAATTAAGAAACCCGATTAACTTAACCTTCCAAAATATAATCTTCCTCCCACCCTGCACCTGTTACTGTCCCTGCACGTGTTTGGTGAAACAAACCTGGAAACCTTGATTCAGAAGGAAGCCTGCAGTGAACATACACAAAGCAGGAAAGGTGGTCAATTTCAATCATGGGAATGGGGAAGGGAGGCAGCGAGGGAGTGGCAAGAAAAGAGGGAGAGCACACACAGCAAAATTTACCAAAAAAGAAAAAAAAAAGGGCCAGGAGCGGTGGCTCAAGCCTGTAATCCCAGCATTTTGGGAGGCTGAGGCGGGTGGA